ACCGACAATCCAAGCAATAAATAACTAATCCGTTAAATATCAACTTGTTCAATTGTTTCGCCTAAGAACGACAACGCCTAAATCCGGTCAATTATCTATCTTAGTTGCTTCGAGCGAAAGACACATGATCTAAATCCGACTCAAGTATCAATCAAGCAATAGATCATAAACATAGAATAATAGGTGGCCAATCTATCAACTAAGCACAACAATCATAAAAATATGCACACGAAACATTGATGCGAAAAATATATGAATTGTAATAAAACTAATTCGATCTCACAGTAGTAGGTCTGGGGTTTCGATCGTATTCAACCAAGACAAAGATAAATTAGTTGCGTAGGGCTATCATAATCCAAGATAAAATCAAAAGAAAAAAATAATGAAGAAAAAGAAAAGAAGACAGAGCCGCTGTGTGCTGTATGTGCTGCGTGAGTCTGCTCCCAGCCGATCCCTATAAGATCCCTCCTGTTTTCCTGCTTGCTGCTGGTATAAGAGGTTAAATATTCTTGTTGGGCTTAATCGTTGAATTAGGCCCAATTTTAGAAATTTGTTCCTGAATAAGACCAACATGGCCATGTTGCAATTCAATGTAAAACTGACACTGACATGTTAGTTATAGCGGCTGGGACTTTAAAGCCAATGTTCCAAGTGCACAAAAGTCATCATTCTGCACATAAATTCAAAAACCAGTAGTTTGCACTCGAAAATATAATATAATGTTAAACATATGTCAATTGAACTCTCATATTTAATATAAATCCCAAATTAATCCAATAAATCGACACATATTTTTGACTTATCAGTAGTCATGCCGTTCGGACTCAGCAATGCCCCGACCGTTTTCATGGACCTTATGAATATGGTCTTTCATCCTTTCCTGGACCAGTTCGTCATTGTTTTCATCGACGAAATTCTGGTCTATTCCCGAGATATCGATCAACACAAAGAGCATTTGAGGATTGTGCTAGAGACTCTTCGCCGCGAGAAGTTGTATGCTAAGTTCTCGAATTGCGAGTTCTGGCTGAATCGTGTGGCATTCCTTGGCCACATTGTGATAGCTCGAGGCATTGAGATGGATCCCAGCAAGATTGAGGCGGTAAGCAAATGGGATACGCCAAGAAGTGCCGCAGATGTTCGTAGTTTCCTGGGGTTAGCAGGATACTACAGGAGGTTTATCGAGGGCTTCTCGAAGATAGCCCAGCAACTGACTAACCTTACGAAGAAATCCGTGAGGTTTGATTGGAGTCCTCAGTGTGAGGAGAGTTTCCAGGAGTTGAAGAGGAGACTCACTACCACGCCTGTCCTATCTATACCCGACCCTACTTTGGAGTTCACCATCTATAGTGATGCTTCAAAGATAGGTTTGGGATGTGTCCTTATGCAGCAGGGGAAAGTCGTAGCCTATGCTTCGAGGCAGCTGAAGCCTCACGAGCAGAACTACCCCACTCATGATCTTGAGTTAGCTGCAGTTGTCCACGCCTTGAAGATTTGGCGGCACTACCTCTATGGAGGCAAGTGTGAGATCTTTACCGACCACAAGAGCCTAAAGTACATTTTCACTCAGAAGGAGCTGAACATGAGGCAGCGTAGGTGGTTGGAGCTGGTCAAGGACTACGACTGCACCATTAGCTATCACCCTGGGAAAGCTAACGTGGTAGCCGATGCCCTTAGTCGGAGGAGTTATGGCCAGTTGTCTTGCCTATTCACCAGGCAGGATGTTCTTCTTCGGGAGTTCGAGTGATTACAGCTAAAGGCAGTAGAGTCGACTTCGACAGCCGGGGGCGTGTTGGCCTCTTTGGTTGTGGGACCGACTCTTCGAGAGAGGATAGTCGCCGAGCAACCGAATCACCATTTCTTATGCCAGATGAGGGAGTTGTCAGAAGCCCGTAGAGTTGGTGGATTCGCAGTCGCATCTGATGGGGCCTTGGTCTTCGAGGGTAGACTTTGTGTTCCGAAGGTGTGGGAACTACGAAGGGAGATTCTTAGGGAGGCCCATAGTGTAATATCCCATTCAGTTAAGTATCAGTTATCTTCAAAACCAAGGGATTTTGAGGGTAAATAAGTTTAGAAATTAAAGTTTTTTAAGCCACGCGGGTCGTGTCACAAGTGACACG